AGTTCAGAATGACGTGTGCATGTTCACCTCTGCACAGTTTTATATGATTTGCATTTTACTAATTTGTATTTTATATTGACAGGATCTTAGTATCAATTGGTGAATCATTTGGGGTGAGTATTTTTCCTGTGAAATATAATAGTATGCACTATAATAAAAGAAATCGAGAATTTCTATAATTGAATTTACAAATGCTATTATTCAAGCACCTCATTCAGGCATATTGCATAGAATTTAGAAGATGTATCAGATTTATTTTCAAATCAGATTTAATTTTAAATTGTATTCATAATTGGTGAATTTCAAAATTGTTTTCTAAACATTTCTTTGAGATTGTGTGTATACATTCATGTCTATACATACAAATATATGCATTATATAATCTCAGAGGAATGTTTTAAAAAACAGCTTTGAAATTCACTAATTTGAAATAAGATACTCCAAAATGTAATCACTGTGTCCAGATGTCACCAGCCAGTCCTTACCCACTGGTCTCCTTCTATACATATACACACTTTTGCTTTTCTTCCTCTCCAAATTCTAGGATATTCTTTCCCTGTTACATTGATAAGGAATTGGTTACATGCCCCAGTGTAAGTGACAGAGTCTGTGATGGTCTTTGTTCCAGAGGAATGCAGGGGAAAGCTTAGCTTTGAAATGGTTATTCTAGTCTGGGAACCCACTACTCTAGCTGGCCTTTCATTACCATCACTAATTCAGCAGTCCTGTATTCAGTATGCATTACTATTAATGTTTCATACCACCCACCCCTCTGCCTATATTTGTTATTTATTGCTGTGTAACAAATCACCCCCAAACTTAGTAACTTAAACCTTTTTTCATCTTAGTTTCTGTGGGTCAGTACACAGGCATGGCTTAGGATCCAGGGTCTCTCCAGACAAGGCTGCAGTCAGTGTGTCACCTGGAGCTGCAGTTATCTCCAGGCTCACCTGGAGGACGACCTCTCACAGACTCATTCATATGGCTGTTGGCTGATCCTCGATGGCTGCTGGTCCAAGCCATCAGTTCCTTGACACGTGGGCTTCTCCGTAGGGTGACAGGCTACTCACAACATAGCAGCTTGCTTCTCCCAGAGCAAGGACTCCAAGAGAGGGAGGCAGGGAAGGAGGGAGATAAACAAGCGAAATGGAAGTCAGTCTTGTTGTAATCTTGGAAGTTCCATCACTTTTGCCACATTATTTTGTCAGGAGCAAGACACCACCAGGTCCAACCCACACTCAAGGAGATGAGGATTAGTGAGAGTCATTCTAGCATCTGCCTGCTGCACTGCCCCAAATGAAATAACTAGAGAACCATAAATGTTTGTATACTAAAAGACCAAATGTTAAAATGTTTGTTACAAATAGTAAATGCTGTGACATTTAGCTCAACATAGGCTGCAGCTGTCAGGCTTCACAAAGGGGATATGGACCACATAAATAGGATTGGATCTGGATAAGTATAGAGTAGTGGTCTTCAAACTTTTTTGCTTGCCATAGCCTCTAAAAGAATTGAGAAAATGTTATATGTACTTCCATATTTTAAAGCTGATAACTGAAAATCTTATAAATTTAATAGGTGCCCAGAATTTTGTTTCTATCATATTGTACATGTGCTCTAAATATATTTTCCATCAAAATCTGGTTTTGCATTCAATTTTTTTGAAACTTAGTTCATTTAATTTTTGGAAAATAAAGCATAATTAGCAAAGCTAATCCTTACTGTCAAATCAGTCAAATCACATTTAATTTCTATCAGAAAGTCTGACTTCATTCTTGAGTTCAAATAAGTGTGTTAATACACATCACTGAGATTATCACCTCACTCTGGTTCTGAAATAGATAGACAAGACATAGAGTTTTTCCATGTGTTTGTCCTTTGGATAAAATAAGGTATTGTGCCCCCTTTGGTATTTCTTACCAAAGCTTTCTTTGCTGTGAAAGGATTCTCCCTCAGGAGATAAATATCTCAGATCATCTCTAGTAATACTTGGATGGACTCAAATGCTTAAGTTTTTTTGATATTTAATATTTTATTTTAAAACTTTTAGAGTTAGGATATCAACAAATACTGCTACATCAATAATGGCTTCAAATATATAGTATGACTTGTCAACATGATACCCATAAAGTGAGCCCAAAATTATTATTAACTAAACATTGCTTATTAATTTCCTGTGACATTCTTTCTGTTTATACCGTGCTCTAAAAAGAAAAAAAAAATCTGTCAAAAATGAGGTTCCAGGAAGCTGTTCCACCTTTGCATGCTTCTGAGAAGTAGCCCTGGTTTTGTGAGTGAGCAGCTTCTGAAAGCGAGGACCTGGACTTTTGGAGTAGTCTTCAGAGTTGTTGGGAAGACACAGGAGGGTTTGAAAATAGCAGGTATTTAATTGGGGCAGAGTTAGGTACAGTTAGTCTGATTTTAACATTTTTCATATCTCTTATTTGGTCCATAAAAGCAGAAAATTAAAATGCAGATATTACCTCTGCCAGATTTTTGACCCACCTCAAACCTACAATTAGGGGTTGCTAACTGCAAAGTGGTGGCATTTAATGATTTAAAATAAAGAATTCCATAATTTGCAGACTTCTGAGAAGTTCCAGAAAATAAATCAAATGGTGTGTAACAGCGACCGTGTGCTCAAAAGAAGTGCTGAAGGAAGCAACCCTCCTAAACCACTGAAAAAACTGCGCTTTGACATTGAAGGATCGGATGAAGCAGATGGAAGGTAGGAGCCGTGTTAGAATGTTTTTCAGGAGCTGAGCTGGTCATTGGGAGAACCCAGACTGCCAGCCCTACTCCCAACTTACACCAGTCCTTCTCATGCCAATTTTATTTGGAAATTATGAGGATTGCTCAAAATAGTAGGTGTGACTGCATCCCAAAGTTAAAAGCACCATGTAAATATACTGAAATTCACTGAAAATATCAGATGTTAAAAATCTGGTCATTTTTTTCACAAAGCTATTGATAAAATTTTGTTAGTTTTGATTAACATTAAATTTTAAAATGCTTACTCTTGAAAAATGCTACTGTGTTTCATAAGAACCACTGAAAAAATATCTAGGATCATAAATTTGTGACATTTATATTTTAGATGTTCGATTTATAAACCTTTGAAATTAAAATCTCACTAAAATAGGAGCATAAAAAGTCATTGAAAACATAGTTATTGGAAATCTGAGGTTTTCATTTATACATATACATATGAAATATTTTGCATTTTTTAAATCTGCAGTAAACATCTCCCAGGGGAGTCCAAATTTCAACAGAAACTGGCAGAAATGAGTAAGTACTTATCATTAAACCTTATGTAAATGAACAGTCATTTACATTGCAGAAAGCCTTTTCACATTATAAAAGAATAAATTTATAGAATCTCTTCAATTAGTGACTTGCTTATGCGTTCAAGATCTAATTCGGTCAAGCATGTGTTATTTACTAGCCTTTATGGATTAGATGTGTGATGCAAAGTGAAGGTCATCTTCATCCTTCCTAAAATCTGTGCGGAAAGACCAAGAAGTGAAACCAAATCTTCAACACGAATGGCTGTGGTTAGAAAATATTTTAGGATAGCAGAACTGTAATGAGGTACTCTTTATTTAAGAGTATTGGATGTAGGCAAGAATGTTATAAACTTAGCATATATAAACATCATCACCCTTATTTAAAGAAGAATCTTTTATTCTGCTATTACTGAACTTTCCTAATTTGCAAGTTTTAGAACTTATTTTAAACAAAGTTTTTCATTACTGGAAATCAGAATTTTGATAAAGAACACAAGAGCATTTTCCAAGTTATACAGAGTGACGTAAGTTTGGAATGTTAAGGCAAATGGAATTCTCTCCTAAGCTACTCTGACACTATGAAAGATTAACCCAAGTATAGTAGATGGGAAGCACATTAAGAAAAAGATCCGTGTGCACTAACTGCTACTGCGTTGTCTTAGAGAGGTAGCCATGAGGGTGAGTGTGACATTTCCTGATAATCTGGTGCCAGACCCATTAACAGGAAACAGAGCTGGGTCTTGGAAAGAAGACAAATATTTAGGAGATAATAAGAATTAAAACTGTCATTCCTAGGTCATAGGACATATCAGTAAGAACAGTACCAATTAAAATGTGACTTTTTAAAAAGGGGCCTTCTCTCAATATGTCTCTGTAGATACTAACTTTGAAATATAAAGTGTTTTTAAAAATACTTTTGATTTTTTAAACCATATTTCTATGTGTATTATTTTGAAGAGTACTATTGAAACTAAATTAAATTTTGTGGTTATAAATGGATGTCTTTTTGGATTTTACATCAACTAATATACTCCTGTTTTAACTTTTAAATAGTTGTAGCTTTTCCCCCCAGTACATGAAAATAGACATGAAGCTTATAACCAAAATCAGACCTTAAAAACATGTGGAAGCATTTTGGAACCCACAAATATGCATTTCAAAAGGAGCAGAAAGCTGTAAAAACGTGTATATTTTCTTATAGAAGAGCTCAGTTGCTGTAGTCAGTACATTTCGCAGTGACACACTTAGCTATGACCAGGAATTCCCCTGCCAGGCTGAAGTTCAGGGCCTCTGTGCAGCTGAAAATTCAGGAGAGGTAGCAGGAGTTTTAACCCATAAGGATAAGGAATTCTCCAGGTTGCTCTTCAGCTTCCCTCGAAAAACTGTATTCAGAAGATCATTACACAGTGATAGATTGCTTGGAGCCGAAGGGCCAGAAGGGGAGACGTAGAGTCACTCCTTTCTTTACCAAGTGTGAGTGTTCTTTGTGCTTCTTTATGAAGAGCCTTTGCCCACCTCTAAAATCAAGTTAAGATTTTTTAAATTATTTAAGAGAAGCATTCTGTTATTGTGTTGTAATTAATAATGTATTTTTTAAATGTCCACGTCCAAATTAAATGAGCTGTGAGCTGATGTGTTTGCAGTACTTGCAGCGTGTCTCCAAACACAAGGGAATTCCTGGCTTTATGAAGAATAACACTCACTTCAGCAGACCAGCCCAGAATTCTGTTTTGCTCAGGTGCCAAACTTAACCGTATCATCTCTAGAACAGTGGTCTACAAAGTTGGGCACGCTTGGGTGTGTGTAAGACCACCTTTTGGGGGTACATAAAGAGATTATTAGAATATTTGTCTTTATCTCATCTATTTTAATGTTTGGGGGGTGTGTCTTATAATTTAGACACATATACATACATACATACATACATACATACATACATTTAGTGGTACATGCTTGGAAAAAAATTTGCTGATGGGGATGTATGATTTAAAAAACGAAACCACTGCTTTTGCGAGGACCTGGGCTCCATCAGTTTGGCGTAAGCATAACGTGTGTGGCAGCCCTTTACCAGCTTACCCAGCACCGTCAGTGCTATTAACATTTCTTCATCCTTGTTTTAGCATCTACTCGAACACGAATGCAAAAGCAGAAAATGAATGATAGCACGGATACCTCAAACAGGGAAGAAAAGTGAGGACCTCACGACCTTGTTGGGCACCCTGTACATCTCCAGCTTCATTGTCTCCCACAGATCTGACTGTAGAACTCTCCCAGGTTCTGTTTACAGCCACATTTGATACATACCTTCAGCTCTTTTTGTGGATAGCACAGTTGAGTATTTGTGCAGGGGATTCCTAAGCCACTTGCAACATTGTAGTCACTAGAACATGCATTGTTATTGTACAAGATTGAAAATCCTGTGCCAGTCCTGCCACTTAAAAAGCTGTAACAGATGTTTCCGTCTCCAAAATACAGTAAGTCCCCTACATACGAACCTTCAAGATACGAACTTTCAAAGATGCGAACAATTGAATCCAGCAAGGAACCAGAACCTGTGCCATTAATGTCAGGCGTGAGTGAAATTGCAGCTTGCCCTCCGTCTTCTACTGCTGACTATCCCTCAGCTCTACCATCTCCCACCTCCTCTCCCTCCTCCAGTCAGTAACTATTCTTGCCTCTTCAGGCGATGCCAGCCCCTGTGTGCCAGCTGTTGTACTGTACTACTGTACTTTTCAAGGTACTGTACTGTAAGATTAAAAATGTTTTCTTTATTTTTTGTGTTTGTTTGTTTTTTATGTATTATTTGTGTGAAAAGTATCATAAAGCTATTACAGTACAGTACTATATAGCCGATTGTGTTAGTTGGGTACCTAGGCTAACTTCGCTGGACTTACAAACAAATTGGTCTTATGAAGCACGCTCTGAATGGAACTCGTTCGTATGTAGGGGTTTTACTTATAATTGCTCTGCTTTACAAATGGTGGCAGGATCCCCTGGGAGTGACAGTCCTCACAACCTGTGCCTATCTGAGTACTTTGTCTTCTCTTGTGGCATGTATGTGATGTTTGCTCTTATTTTTATTAATTTATATTTATTTTTTTAACTTAACATGAACACCCTTAGAAAATGCGTCTTGTCTTCCAAATGCAATTTGGCTGACTGCCCCCATTCGCCCAGATGATCCTGAGCTCTTGTGCTAAAACATATATTAGAAACTAGGGAAAAATTACTAATTTTTACACATTAGATTTTAGTTTACTCATGGAAACTAAATGGATGTACTGTGTGTTTGTTTTATAAATATTAGTTTTTAAATACAAACAGAAAGCAAAGTATAAACATATGAGATACTGTCATACTACTGATACAGATTTCATACCTCAGGACTTGTAAAATTTTATTGATTCTTTTCTTCATCCAACTCATGTTTTAAAATAAAGTTATTAATAGTACTCTTGGTTTTTATACCATTAGGATCACTGAATTCATGAAGTACCCATCTAGTGCTTGGAAAATAAAGTGTTCAGCTAGAGCTTTGCTGCAGAGGACCCTAATACAGTATATCCCAAGTGCACTTTCTAACGTTTCTGGGTCCTGAAGCATCAAGATACAAAATAATTTTACTCCACAAACAGACTGTTAACTATAGGAGCCTTAATTTTTTTCTTAGAGAGTTATATAATTACATCTCAGCAATTACTCTGCCCTCCTGAATGCGGGAAGAGGGTGTGTTTGTTCTGGAATGGTACATGTCTTCCATGTATCTTTTGAACTAGCAGTTGTCCTTTTTTTTTTCTTAATTCAGCATGGTCTAACACTGGCATTTTCAAAGCCGCATCATTTCTCATCCAAAATGCAGGTAACAAAAGGTCTTTGGGTTAAGCATTAATGTTTCTCTCTGATTTTGTGCAAAAGCTTCAATTTAAAACAGCTGCATTAGAAAAGAGGCGCCCCCCCCAACACCTAAAGGTGTATTTAAATATCTTGTGTGATTAACTTATTTAGAGATGGTATAATTTAAAATAGGTGGTATTTAAGGTAGCATCTACTAGCTTTTAGGAAAATTACTTTGTCTAAACTCAGAGTTCTTTTTAAAAAGAAACCTGGTCTTATTTGTTAGAAAACAAAACTTTATTTTGTGCTCAGTTAAGTTGCAAACTTATTTTTTTGACAGTTATCTTGAAAACAAAGGCACTAGAAAGCTTTATCTCATTTCCTCATTCATTTTTGCATGAATATCAAACAAATCAGTTAGTTTTTAGGTCAAGGGCTTACTACATTTCTGAGTCTTTTGCTAATAAGTTCATGTTAGAATTAGTGTCAGAACTTAAGGAACTTCAGAGATCATGTATTGAGATTTCTTAAATAAGGCTTCAGATATTGCTTTATTGCTTTTTGTATTGGTTAAAACTGTACATTTAAAATCTCTGTTGCTATTTTCTACAATTAACAATAGTTTGTCTATTTTTAAATAAATTAGTTGTTAAGAGTCTTAATGGTCTGATGTGGTCTTTGTATTAAGTGCACTAACGTTCTCTTCGGTATCTGAATTCTCTCCTAGTATCTCATCTGTTCTTAGCCTTTAAGAATGGGCTTTATATGCTGATGAATCCCAGATTTATTTCTCAAGCCTGACCTCTTCAGGGAGGTCAGAGCTCTCACAGCCAACAGAACCGTTGATTCCTACCCCTCCTCCCCACCCAGCTTCTCAAAATCAAACAAAAACACCCTTTTCTACCCTAGTCTTTTCCCATGTTACTAAACACTTAACTTGCTCAAGATAAAATCCTGAGTCTTCTATTAGCTGTTGTCTGAACCACTGTTAGACTTCTAACTGGTCTCCACTTCCCTCTCTTTCCTCTTTACCTTTCTACTCCTTAAAGACCCCTTTAAAATATAAATTGATTCACTTTGCTCCTCTCCTTGAAGTATTCAGACTCCTGATCGCGGCCTGGGAAGCGGCCCCTACCTTCCTCTCCGTCCTGTTCTCAGGCTACTTTCTCCCTGCTCACTGTGCTTTACCCCCACTGGCCTTCTTTTCTTATGACGCCAAGCCCATCCCTACCTCAGGCTTTTATATTTGCTGTTCCTTCTGTCCAGGGTGCTCCTCCCGCAGGATTTTGCTTAGCTGGTTTCCTCTTGTCTTTCAGGGCTCAGCTCAGTGGCCTTCCTTGACACCCAAGCTAAAATCCCTCCTCTGTACTGTGCCACTCTCCTTCAGAAGTGTAACAGCATTCATCACCGTCAGAAACTGCCTTACTCGGGTTGCCTATTGCCTGTTTACCCACCCCGCCATCAACCTGGCTGGCCTTACCTACTACTATAGTTCTAGCATCTAGAAGAAGCCCGTATGTGGGGTGGGGGGGGGGGGGGGAGGTATGTTTTCTGTACGTTTTCCAAGTATGTAGAAACGATATTCTCTTTCTCTTTGAAAATGCCATGTACTGAGTACCTACTGTATTTTAGGCACATTCTAAATGTAAGTGATACAACAACAAATAAATAAAATTAAGATTCCCCCTGTCTGTGGAACTTACATTCTAATTCTAGTTTCGGGAAAAGAGAGCAAACGAATAAATAAACGAGGAATATAGTATATGTGATTGTATTAAGTTCTGTGGAGAAAGACGTGCGGGGGCGGGGAGAGCAGGGAGTACCGGTAGGGAGAGGTTTTAACACTTAAAGGAGAGTGGTCAGGGCAAGACTTGCCAAGGTGCCATTTGAGCCAAGTGTTGCAGAGGGTGAGGGAGTGAGCCAGGCACCAGAGGGGGTAGAACAGAACACAGAGAGGAAAAGCCAGTGCTCAGAGGTGTGTGTGTGTCGGGTGTGTCTGAGGAAACATAAGATGTCATAGTACGACGGAGAGTTTTAAGAAGAGGAGTCGGGGCAGGGGGGCAAGTATCTCTTTTCATCTAACACAGAGTTTATAAAGGCCTTTCCTTCCAAGCATCCTTCACATATATATATGTCTGCAGTCCTTTATCTGCAGTTCTGAAATCCAAAAAGCTTTCAAAACCAAGTGGTTCTGTGTGTTTGGTGCCAAAAGTCATATGGCATCAAAAACATATCTAAACTGGCATAGAGCTATTGAAAGGCTTTATCCCACTTAGTGGGAATATTCTTGTTTCACCATTAATGCATTGATTTGGGGGATCTAACCTAGGTCCTGCTTAGGTATCACGTATTATGTAATATATGTACCATATGATCATACTAAACTCCAAAAAAAATTAAGAAACCCATCTGGTACCAAGGGATAATCTTGAGTTGAAGTAATATGATTTCTCAAAAACAGGTGGACAGTAAAAGTCCCTCCTTCTGGAACAGCAACATGTTTGTCTCTGAAGGAAGAAAGGCAAATAAAGAAGTTCCAGCAGGAAAAGCAGCAAGTATACCTCAGTGGACTGTATTTATGTTGGATGCGGATCTTCCATGAAATGCAGTCTCTTAGGTCAGGGAAAAATCAAGCAGCCTTTATAACATTAAAAATTTTTAGTCTGGATGATAGAAAACTGATCACTTCTGGAGATTAATTTAGTATTCCAGTAATTAAAGCTCTTTATAATGAAAGGGACAAGTTCAAATTCAGTATTTACTTTATTCATTACAGTTTTCGGGTACAAATGGTGGGCGGCGGGGAGTATCAGTTCTATTACCGTCCGGATGATTTCCTAGAAACTTGCCTGTAGAAGCCTATTTTTGTTCCTCATTTTGGGGCCAGACAGCGTACATGGCATTGGCAAGGATTTATTCAGTAGAATTTTCCTTTGGACTAAATAAATGTTTTACAGGACAACCTGAAACCTTGCCTCTAGACATAGCAAATTTCCACAAGTATGGGGTCTTAAACAGAAATACAGTAACACTGTATAATGTCTGAAAGGAATTAAAACAACTCTTTTAATAAGAAGCTGGAATAGTCATCTATTCTTAGAAATACTTTTTGGTGTCCATTATCTTGGAACTATACTTACACTCTAGTATCGACGTATGATGACAATTTACTATGAAAGTTAAATTTATTCCACAGACCGACATCAGTTACTTTCTAAACAGAAAATGTTATGATTTTAACTGAATTTAGTGAGAGAAAGTCATTATGGTTTATGTTTTTATGCTTTGGCAAAGACTGAATTAAAAATGACAGTACGGTATGGTTTTTCCTTTCTTGTTACAGTTCTCCCAAGCTGTTTGTTGTGATAATAGCACAGGGAGGACTCATAAGATAGATAAGACTATGTAGTTTGTAATTGCCTCTTTTTCATTATCACTGGTCAAGAATTCTGCGTCTAACACTCACCAGGTTATGGTCTAGAATGACTGGCAGTTTCTTCAGGTCTCAGATGAAAACATTTAACCCTTTTTAAAAAGCACTGAATGGTATCTTCACAAACCACTCTCAGCAGATGAGGATGCTACTTTATTCCTGTAAAATCTAAACCTCTCTCTGTGTTAAGTTTGGGTGAAATTATATTGGAAGCACTAAAACATTGTTCTTGTGTGAGCAGAGAGGAAACAAAACTTAAGGGTGGAAAATGTAAGATGAACTTAACGGATCCATCGACTTCTGATGTAGTGTCATTATGAAAATGGCACTTCCCTCTCACATATCCCTGGGTAAACTTAGGGTTTCTGAGCTCTACAAACACTCATCTGTTAGAAAGAAATGAAGGAAATAAAGTGATATTATCCTTCATATAGGAGCACTGATGGCCAGCCTATCCTCAAAGACCAGAGAGAAAGCATGTTTTTTCAGAGAGATGTAACCACGGAACTCATCTATCATCTCCAACTGGTTCAAAATCAGCCCTTCCTTATTGTTTGGCATCCCAGGTCTTAAGAGCTAAACCAGTGATTCTCATCCTTGGCTAAACATCAAAATTACCTGTGGAGCTTCGTAAACATACTGAGTTAGAATCCTTGAATCTATATTTTGTAAAAGTTTCATAGATTATTCTGTTGTGCCCAGAGATAAGCAGCACGGAGATAAAGAGCAGTGCAACCTACACCTAACAAGCTTAGAGGAAATCTAGATAAAACTCCACCCACCCCTTCTTACTAACGTGTACTCTGGCAGGGCAGTGACCCACTGGGGAGTCTCGTGGAGGGTAATCCATTTTTCATCCCTAAATAAACTTACCTGTTCCCTTTGGGGGGTCCAGTACTTCCATGAAATGAGTTCATAAAAGAAAAAGGCATTGAGGAACTTAAGAAGACCCTGTCAGAAAAGGGCAAGAAAGAGGAAGAGGAGGTTTGGGAAGACTGTAAAATATAAAGGCTTTTTGGTCAGTGACAGCGAGCACAGTGGGCTGAGGAGAACGAGTCGGAAGTGAAGCCTGTGGACGTCTGACTGTGAGAACTGATGGCGACTGGTAATACCCAGGCCTCAGTGTTTCTTTGCTGGAGAGAACAGCTAACCTACCGAAACATACAGACAAATGGTGTAAGGCTGTAACATCTTACGGAAAAAAACCAGAACGAACTTTTTGGCCAAACCAACAAAGTAACAAATACTACACAGTTCCAAAAATGGGATTCTGATTTAGAACTGGAGGCATCCAGACTCCTTTGCCTCTACCAGACAAGGTCTGCAAAAACAGATAAAAAGAAACTAAGGATTCAAAAGGACCTCACCAATAAAGAACATGGGCAATCATACGAACAGTTGATTAGAATTAGTTGTTTAGAAGCCATTTGCGTTTTAGGGTAGGCTTCGCTATGATGCCTTATCTGAGTAACTGCTTTAAAAAAATAAGCTTATATCAAATGGATTTGTGTATATCTAAGAGACATAAGGTTGACAGACTCTTGCTGCTTCTGAAGTATGAAAAAACACACACATTTGTTCTATTATCTGCAAATAAGCACTTTATTATCAAACAGTTCAGCATCAGAACAAGGTTTCCAAAAGAGGTTTGTTTCTCTACATAGCATCATATTGTGAAAATACATATTAGGAGACTCTACATCCTACATCCTGTTCCAGTTTCTCATTTGTAGTCGGGTAACTTGATCTGAACAGTATAAATTCATCTCTCTCTTACTAGTGCTGTCCATGAAATGTAAGCGTAGTTCCTTTTCGGCTAGTACTTTATAATTACACTGTGCCAAGTTAAAAGACCTGTTTTATAGTGACATAAAAGTCAACTACAAGAAAAACAAAATCGTTTCTACTTACAGAGGCAAATCTCACTTAACACAAAAGTAAAGGACATTGTGCAATTATGTAAGGCAAATGAGCCCAGAAACAACATTCATTCAAAGATAGTACACTTCTTATTCGATAACCCCGTGTGAGAAATTAATGACTCAGAGTAAAGACAGAATTAAAATTAGCCCTTGGGTCTTTGAAAATTTAATTGCTAAGGCCTTTTGTGAATTCCAATTAACGCTCTAAATTAGCCACTATTTCTCAGAACGATGTACAGAAGAATATGAGCCTCAGATGTTTTAAATTTGTTTTGTGAAAGTTATTCCTTCATCCAGTATCCCACAAATAAAGCTGTTCTCGGGGCATAATTAAGATTTATATAATAAGCTGAGTGCCTTACTCTATGCAAGGCACTGTGCTGGATGCTCCAAGTGTGGTAGTGACAGCATTCCTTGTCAAGCTATCGATGTGGTATCAGCCTGTTGAATATGGAAATTTGGCCAGAATAGCATATACTTAGACCCATGTACCTACCAACTTAAGTGACTCGAAGAGGAAATGGTAAGTATAGTAAGACATTTCAACTTTTTTCCCTTGAGCTTAGTCCCATCTGATCAGAGAGCATTTAATGCCTTCTCTCTAGATTGTAGATTTCAAAAGGTGGGGAAGACTGACCACCATCCTTCTTTTGAGAGGACATTAAGTATTCAGCCAAATGTAGCTCATCATAAATACTATTAAAGAGAAACTACTCTCTGGCTTTTGCAGGGAAAATGGAAATGCTAAAAATTCTTTCCTGCAGGTGAGGATTAATTTTTAAAGGCTCCAACTCTGCTTGCTTTGCTGATAAAGTTCTTCAAGAGATCATGGTCCATTTCTGCAAAGCCTGACGTCTGTGTTACTACAGTCAAATGGTTTATGCAAAACCTGAAGCAGAATTCTTCTAAATCCTAGGAATGACAACAGAAATTTAACAAATAAACAAATTTGTTTTAACAAATTCACATATCCCAATGCAATGCAGCGTAGCACAAAAACTCCTAAAACACATAGGCAAGGAAAAAGGATTTGATGGCCAGAAGAAAGAAATGGGACAGCAATGCCTAAAGAATCGTTGTAAAACTATATAGCTAATATGAATCTATGCTTGAAAAAAAAAAAAGTGTAGTCAAGCATGAGGGATAATTTGCTGAAAAGGTCCGTTTCTTGCTTATTAGAGTCAGCAAGTAACAGTACTAGTCAACTCAAATATACTGTTCTTTATTTATAAAAACTTTTATATTAAGTATACATTGAGTCTGTTTTACTTGTGGTCTATTATACTAATTTAGGGTACCACACACAGACAGCCTGTAGTAAAATACAGTGCCTCTACAGGCAAAGTTGAACATTCATTAAACAAATATTTAATGAGCACATACTATGTGTCAGGCACTATCCTAGGCACTAGAGATATGGTTGTGAGTAAAACAAAGTCCTTGCCATTTGCTCAGGGAGCTTCCTTTCTAGAAAACAGGGCTGAATGGTAACCATACAAATAATTCACATAAACAGTGAATATGAAAAAGTCTTGGACATTAATTCTAGTTCAGATGGAAACACTATATGCCCACAATCTCATCATCTGAGGCAGCCCACCAGAGTCCAGTATTATCAGCATGACTTTAACAAACTCTTGAAAAAGCACAGTTATTGTTTGGCCGTGAAGCCTTCTGCCTGTTGTAAGTGCCCAAAGTATTATTACCTTGATGAAAGACAAACATTCACTATGCTTGTGAATGTCAATGCTTCAAAGTGGGTAAGATTTTTTTTAAATGTTAAGTGAAAAAAATCTAGTATTTAGAAATTTATATTAGGTTGGCCAAAAAGTTCGTCCCGGTTTTTCCATAGGATGTTACGGAAAAACCCAAACAAACTTTTTGGCCGACGCAATACATAACCTAGGAAAAAATCAGAAGGAGCTGTATGAAAATGTTAGTGTCCTCTGGTTGAGGAGTCATTTCCTTCCTCATACTTTTTGTATTTTACAAATTTTCTTTAATAAGCACATTATTACTTACATAAGCAGAAAAGAAGTTATAACCTTTTTTCTGCCCACGACTAAAATGTCCCTGTTTTCTGACCAAAGGAAAGGATATCCTTAAGGAAATCGACTCCAAAAAGTATGGCCTGTTTCCTAAAGATTTAACTCTAAGACAAGTTTTCTTTCCTTTCTTTATTATCAAAACAATACATGGTCACTGTAGAAACTTCAGGAAAAACAAGCAAAGATAAGGAAATAAAAATCATCCACAATCCCACCATTCAAAGATAACCACTGACTGTACTTTTCAGTCTTTTTTCCTATGTAGATAATAAATTTTGGTCCTTTTAAATTCAGCTATTTATACTTAAAAAAAACTTTTTTTACTATTTTTATTTAAAAAATATACTTATTAAAAAAATAGGAGCACAGTTCTTCAGTCAATGATATATGCTGAACAGTATTAACATTTTTTAGTTTAAACAATCCTTTCCTGTTCACACTGACTTTCTCCAATTTTTAAAAATTATGAACAACACTGCAGGAAACATCTTTGAAGCTAAAACTTTGTCTGAATCCATGGTTACTTCCTTAAGATAAGTTTCTATAACTGAATTCCTTAAAGAATTACATTTTTAAAGCTTTTAATACATTATTTTACCAAACAGCCCCCCAGACTGATTATACTAATTTGCATTCTCCTCAGCAGTTTAGGAGAACACCCATTATCCTGAGCCTATACTATTTCTAAAAATAGACTCCCTGGTTTGACAGTTGAAAAACTGTACCTTATTTTCCTTTATATTTTTCACTTGTTCATAAATCCATTTGGTCAATTTTCTTCCATCAAACTCCTCAAGTTTTCTTTTTGTTTTTTTTAAGAATTATGTATTAACTATGGTGAACTTGCTTCGTGATATTACAGATATTTTCCGCAGAGTGTCATTCACTTTGGTTTTTTCTGTTTATTTTTCTGTGTATAAACATTTTTGTTTTTTTGATATCAGATCTATCAATCCTTTCTTTTATGGTTTCTGCCCTTGAGGTCCACCCTACTTTTATATAAACATTCCCTTATATTTTTTCTGGTACTTTATTTGTATACCTCAGATCTTTAATTCACTTAGACTTTCTTTTAGTTTAAGGCATGAAGTAGACAGCTAACCATTTCTTCCAGAAGGTGAGCTCCTTGAAAGGATGCTCTTCTTACCTGAGCGTCATACTTCACGGCGGCCGAGAGCAGCGCGATGGCATTCTCCTCACAGATTCCTTGCTTGATAGTTTGTTGGCAGAGTTTTTTCAAACGATTTTCTCTATAAAATGTAGCCAAATCTAGCAATCCTGGTGGAAAGAGATGTTTCTTAGGGGAGTGATCTCAAGCACCCTGATTTCAACTCACTCAGCCTGTCAGAGATGATTTTGAATAGAATCCTCAGTGAAGGGCTGTGGAAATAGAGACTTGGGCTTGCTCTGAGCATGTGACTCTACCTGAGAACGCAGCTGCACTGACCGAGTGCAATACACAAACGAGCAGCTGTGGAAAAACAGGAGCAAGTGGAAATGGCCCTAGTCTCTTCCTTAGAAATGCTCCTCTAGTTAGCCCTCCCCCTGAATTACCAATATCTTCTCCAGCAGCATTCACACGTGCTGTAATAGTGCCCATCTTCTTCAAAAAGAAAAGAAATGCCTTTCCGGCCTCCTGCGACCCTGCCCCATTTCTCTGTTCCTCTCCTGAGCGAGCCTCCTGGGGAGAGAGGTCTCCGTTGTCTGCCTCTGTTCTCTCACCTTCTATCCTCACCTTAAGCAGAAGCCCAACCCCTCTGCTCCCTGATACCACACCCGCGATTGTCACTAATGGCTCCCATGGTGCCAAATCCAAGGGGCTCTCCTCTGATTTCATCTTACTCAACATTTACACAGAATTTGATGGGGTTAAGGATGCTCCCCTTCTTGACATGCCTTGTTACTTGCTCGTGTTTTCTTCTCCTTCATTACTCTTCAGTCTCCTGGCTGGACCATTTTTCCTGACTTCCAAGTATCTGAACGCCCCAGAGTTCAATATTCAGATTCTTATTTCACTTATTTCCCTAAATGATCTCCAGCCCCTTAGTTTTAAATACCGTCTGTAAAAACTGATGATTCCTGTTATATTATCTGTCATCTGCTTCCCAATAACTCAACATAGAGTGATTTAGATGGTTAAGTTAATCTGAATCTACCCCAAGGGATACTATGAAGCACTCTAATCAAGAATGGTTGGTCAGGGCTTCCCTGGTGGCGCAGTGTTTGTGAGTCCGCCTGCCGATGCAGGGGACGTGGGTTCGCGCCCCGGTCCGGGAAGATCCCACATGCCGCGGAGCGGCTGGGCCCGTGAGCCATGGCCGCTGAGCCTGCGCGTGCAGAGCCTGTGCTCCGCAACGGGAGAGGCCACAACAGTGAGAGGCCCGCGTACCGCAAAAAAAAAAAGAATGGTTGGTCAGTTTGCATTTGAAAGGCCCTTGTCAGGGGCTTCAGTTATGGCTACCTAAATCTTCATTAGAGGACGTGTTAATTAGCATAAAGAATGCTACAAACACTGTCACTGGTAAAATGAGTGGCACTCAGGTTATGTGGCTTGGCTAGAGATAACTGTGAGGGTGCTTTTGGCCCCTGCGTGATTGGGGTTCAAGCACCATGGGCTCAGCAGTCCTATTATACCCTTGGAGTGGTACATTCGCTGGGTCTAATTCAGTCTTGGTTGCCACCTGATCAAAAGGCTAGCTGAATCCTGATTCTAGAATACCATCACGTTTACTTCACGTAAAGGTTACTTTACAATAACCTTTCACGGAAGGTACTTTATAGAGGGCCCAAAGGACAGAGAGCCAGGATTTCATCAACCTTACATTACTGTTCTAATATCTGCTAATAAGTTTTGTACATGTGGTAGAATTTGGCAGAAATTTCTACTAAGTTTGGTAGAAACTTGCTTTCACTGTAACATGACAAGTATTATCAAAATTATAGAAAGAAGGCCTACGGCCCTCTGAAATCTTTTGAAATCTTGAGAGTCGTGAATGGCCCGATTGTTTCTGGTCAGTTCTCAACAACTCCCAAATTCACATCAACAGCCCCACACACTCCGAGCATCAGACTCCCATATGCATGCACTCACAGGTACTGCCCTGAGCCTCCGCTCCAGGGGGCCCAGCTCTGCACCCGTTCTAGGCACCCCCCCCCCTCCCCACAGGCTGGCCAAGGAGCCAAGTGCCCACTCCTAGACCATACTTTGTGCTCCTGGGACCCTGGGGTTCCCTGAATAATCAGCCCTGAAGCCATATATTTCGGTATTTCCTCCCCTGCAGACCATGTGCAGGCCCCCAGCGCCCAGGGGTGGCCGGGGGTGTGGACTGGAGCATGGACATGCAGGCTGGGTGCCCATACACCCCTGGGATGCAGGATGTAACCGGTGGTGGGTAAAGAAAGAGGGCAGGTCCTGAGCTGGAGGCCAGAGGCCCGTCCTTCCTGCACCACTGTGTTCTAGCACAGAACTCCACGAGTCCTACAACTCTAATTCCAGCTGAAACTCCTACCTGGCCTTTTAGTTCTTGATGAAGGTATATTTTTCAAGGTATGAGGATTGAACATATTTTATCTGAAGCTTTTTAGCTTGACATATAACTTTAAATTTTTAGACAAATGGTGCATAGGCCTCCATTTAGACTCTTGCCCAGGGCCCTGCAAATGTTAGGGGCGGGCCCATAAAAAAAAACCCTGCCACGCAGACGTCTAAAAAGCAGCTCCAACTCCTTTGATTTTTCAAACTCAAGAGCAAAACCTGGTGCTCTCCACACTCAAGCCAAATACCTCAGAGCAATCATCCTTCTCTCTCTTGCCCTCAAAACCCACATCCCATATGCACCAACGTAATCCTGTCAGCTCCCTATTTAAGATATATTCAGAATCTGATCTCTTTCAACACCTCCACTGCTAGACCACCCTAACCCAGGGCACCACCATCTTAAACCTCAACCATTACAGCTACTGGTCTTTTAAAAACAAATCCTCTCACCCCTGGAGTATAAACTGCTGGTGCCTCTCCCTTCATATATGCACAAACCCATTCTCCCTTTCTTCCAAAATCATAGACTACGTGGCTGAGCCATGACCATCTAGAAATGACCACTTCCCCCAACTTCCTGTACAGCTGAGTTAAGGCCTTGGTTATCTCTGGTCTATGGTTTAAAAGAAGTGGGACTTCCTTAACCAACACTGGGATTTGCCCTTTGCCCCTGGTCACTGTCCCTTCCTCCATCCTGCTGCCTGTAATGCACATGTGGTCTTGGACATGAGTGCAGGGGCCACATGTAAGGATGCCTTGCACTATATCCCTGTGTGACAGAAACTGTCTTGTTTAAGCCACTTCCTTTTTTCATTTTACTGCCTAAGCAAATCCTAAATAATGCAACCCTCGTGCTCAAAACCTTCCAAGGCTGTCCATCACGCCAAGAATAAAACTCGAGCCCTTCACAGTGGCCTCCAAGGTTGTACCTGGTCTTGCCCAGATCCAGCTGCCTGGCCTCAATTCCCCGACTGCCGCGCTGCTCCCTAGAGAAACACTCCCTTTCTTGTGTGTCCTTCGGTATTTCTTTACGTAAATGCAACAAGCAGTATGTATTTGCTTCCATATATGCTGTTCTACTCCAACAATATAGACTGGAGGCTGCATATGAGAACATACAGAGCTGTTTCTCCTCCCACTTCCTCCTCCCCTCCCCCTCCTCCTCCTCCATGTGCTACCTGTGTTCCTGTCTCAGACCTTTACACCTGCTATCTCCCTTGTTTAGAACACCCTTCACCTGGGCGTTTGCATGCTTCCCCCAGCTCTCTGCTCAGCACACATCCTCACAAAGGCCTTCCCCGACCTCCCAACTGACTGCTTTTCTTTCTTTGTTTAGGGCTGGCCTCCCTCCTCCCAGCAGCAGCTCCACAGGAGCAGGGCGTCGGTCTGTCTCATTCATAGGTGCCGAGGGGAGCACAGCACATAGTGGGCCCCGGGAGCTCAGGTAGTGTGGGAGAAAGGAAGGAAAACTATAAAACTTAAGAAATCAGACTTTTGTTTACCTGAGGAAAATTAAATGCTGATCTGGTAAAAAGTGTTATTGGATTTATACATGTAAAATGAATATTTAATTGAAAGATTTGAGAGCTGAACTCTTTCTTCAGTTCCTTACAGAAGTAACTCCTTAAGTCTCCTGTCCCATGGGCCAACAATATTGCTGACAGCTGTAAACTGAAATTTAGTATGTTTTCACCTTGTGCCCGCTGGACGCCCTGTGTTGCTTTCCTACCGTCAGTAAACCTGAGGTGCAGTGATGCACCAGATCACAGCGGGTTGTCCCAAAGGGACAGTCACAGTTACGGAGACCAGCAGGGCTGTCTGTTACATGCATTTTATCATTTATAATGTAAATATCTTGAAGGCAGCAGCTGTGTGGTAGCTACAAAGTCGTGTGCAGTATCTAGTAATTCAGGAAGAATAGCACCTGTCCCACAGTGCTGATGGTTTCATAATTCATCCATATCTCATTTTATCCATCCAGTCAACCTTTGTGTGAAGTGGGAACAAGGGAAAAGCGTTTGGGTTCAACACACAACAAGAGAACTGCTTCTGTGATCACCCTCACAGCCACTTCCTTTTGGGCTCTACACGAAGCACCTTTTTGCCAATCTCTTGGTCAAGTCTGCTGGCAATTACCTACAGCCTCCTCGGGGGACAGGCTGATGCTGTCTGTGTACAGGTACTCCAGGAAGGCTCGGTAAACAGGATATGAAAATTCACTCATTTCTACAATATCATCCTCACTGTCTTCCAACGAAGAGCGAAAGTGCTCACACCTGAAGGAAGAAAGAAGCATGTCAGGTCCTGGCTTCTGCGCAAGAGCCCATGACCTTCCTGAGGAGCGTGTGCTCGTGGCGGTTAAAGAGGAAACAACTAACACGGAGAAAGGAAAAACACAGCACCACGCAACTTCGTGTCCTTGCCTGGGCCCCTCGCTTCCCTTGCCGGCCAGAAGTCTGCAGTCGTTTATTCGACGAGGCTGCAAATGCTAACCTGCTGCGGGGCGGCTGCCTCTGCGGCCACGAACTCCCAGGGGCCCTCCCACACCACATCCACGGAGCAGCACTTATAGAAGTCAGGTAGGTTTATTTTCATAAACTCTTGAGTAATTTTGTTTCTTCTCCTCCTGTTATGAGTTGAATTGTATCCCCCAAATTCATATGCTGGAGTCCTAACTGCACTATAACAGTATTTGGAGAAAGGACCTTTACAGAGGTAATCAAGTTAAAAGGAGGCCATTAGGGTGGACCCTAATCCAATATGACTGGTATCCTTACAAAAGGGGGGATTTGGACACAGGGAGAATGCCGTGTGAAGACTGGAGTTACATTGCCACAAGCCAAGGGCTGCCAAAGACTAGCAGCAAAAAACCACCAGAAGCTGGGACAGAGGCACGCAACAGATTCTTCAGAGCTCTCAGAAAGAACTCATTCTATGAACAGCCCTGAGCTTGAATTTCTAGCCTCCAGAACCACGAGAGAATAAATTTCTGTTGCTGAAACAGATTAGTCTACAGAACTTTGTTACGGCAGCCCTAGCAAACCGTAACCTCCCCACTTCTATGAAGGTTTACGGGCTACAGTGAGAGTGAACAAATATTGCACAGCCTGACCTTACTAAGAAGTGAACTTGAGACTACAATGCCATATTGAGTTTGTGATTCATTGAAGTAGGATTTAAATATCTGTTACACAGCAACAAAATGAATTTCAAAATCACTATGCTAAGAGAAAGGAGCCAGGCAGAAAAGAATGCATATGGTATAATTACATTTACCTAAACTTCTAGAAAATGCAAACTAATCTCTAGTGACAGAAAGAAGATGAGTGCTTGCTCCAGGGCTGGGGCCTGAGGGATCTTTGAGGGGTGATGGAAACGTTCTGTGTCCTGATTTGGGGCAGTGGTTTCCCACGAGTATACGAAATGTCAAAACTCCTCAAACCGCACATTTTAAATGGATGCAGTTGCTCAAAAATTATACATCAATAAAAGTGATTTTAAAAAATCTCTGTGTTAAGCTTTACTCCCGACCTTGTTGCTCTTCTCTTTTTTCAAGCATCTAAATGTTCAGTGTTAGCAAATGTAAAATAGCTAGCTGGTGGGAAGCAGCCGCATAGCACAGGGAGATCAGCTCGGTGCTTTGTGACCACCTAGAGGGGTGGGATAGGGAGGGTGGGAGGCAGGGAGACGCAGGAAGGAGGAGATATGGGGATGTATGTATACGTATAGCTGATTCACTTTGTTGTACAGCAGAAACTGACACACCGTTGTAAAGCAACGATACTCCAATAAAGATGTATATTAAAAAAAAGAAAACAGAGAACACAGAAGAAATGCCACGTATAATGTGTTTGCCCACTGCACGGCATGCTCATAAGGGCAAAAAGAGCCTTTTACCTATTTTCAGAATCACAGACGTGCCTAACATAGTTCCTTGGAACTAGAAAACAACAAACATATTTATTTCAATTCTTGGAATAAATGATTCCTTACCTAATTTTGAGAAGGACTTTATGCGCATAAATGTACTTTCCATCCACCAGAAATCTCAGGTCTGCGGTGCTGGGATTGTCAAATTCTCTCTTCAGGGACTCTGCCACGGTGAGGTGGCCGTCAGGTTCTGGGGGGCGGGGGGCGACACCAGCACTTTCTAAGGAGGACGCAGGCCCAGCACGGCTCTGCGACACGAAAACACCAGTTCCCCAAATAACTGCCCCACTGAGCTATGCACTGTTTTCCTAAATACAGATTCCCGCTGCTGTAATCATTAAGGATAAGAACCTCAGACACATCTACTTATAAATCTGGCAAAACAACTAAAGTCCCAAACCACCACACTAAATAAAAATTTTGAAAGTCTGAGTAAATATACCAGCTAAAAATAAAAGCTATAGTTTCCCAATCACATCAGAAAGCAATCCAAAGGACTTTTAATTTAGTATGAGATACTGATTTCTAATACTTTTGAGAAAAATGAATCCATCCAATGAGTTCCCTTTCACAGGAGCTCATTAGAGGGAAATAAATTGCCTGATACTGCACTGAACAAAGTCCTCACTATCAAAAAATGAAAACACCAGAAGTTCTCGTCCTAGCTTTCAGGCCACCACCCCGATGGACAGCAATCAGCTCACCCACGGACAGGAGGCGCCAGGTGACGGCGGGCGTGGCGAAGCAGGCGAACACGTCGTCGGTGGACGAGAAGTGGGTGAGGTGAGGCAGGGTCACCGACTGGCCCCGGCACTGGCCCCACATGTACACGTGCCCTCCCTGCGTCTTGGCTGCAGACGTGTGGGCAGAGTGGCAGGCCGCAATCTCTGTAATTCTAGGTCCACAAACACACACCAAGTAAACACGGTAAACAGAAGAAACAAGGTGATTTTTTCTTCCCTTAGGTCTAACTGAGTAAAAACAAAAGCAAGACTTAAGACACCTAAGCTTCTCAACTGTCAGGCACCCAACAGTTATTTATACGTAAGCCATGCCTCAGTGGCACTTAGGTATCATGAAGGTCTGCTTGTTACCACTTCTAGCCAGTAGGCCCATAAAAATATGTACCATCCTGTTTTGAAATTCAAGTATTAGTACAATCCAAGAGAGCAGAGACCAAAAACAAAGACCAAAAAAAAAAAAAGTGATTTAATTGTTTTCTTAAAACATTACTTACTAAAACAGATCAGAAAGATTTGGGCCATCTCAACCCAGGGTCAATAAATATTTTCATCAAAACTTTACCAATTTTCGGGTTAAATGAAGCCTGCTGTGGGTCACTCCAACTCACACTGCAAACAGTAAGTGCAGTGGTTCTGACTCACTGGACTATATCATCTGGAACCCAAGAGAGCAGTTTTCTGGGATCAACCACATGTTAGACCCTATTTCAGTAAGTTCATGATTGATAGGCAGGTAGTTCTCAGAACACTTCCTGGTGGAAACCACTGTTTTGTTGAGTTGAAAATAATTATTTTCCTCAGACTAAGCCACCATACAGAATTAAAGCAAATAAACTATTTCCCCAAGTGAAGTACCATCTTGATTCTGTCTCGGGCAATGGTACCAGCATCCTCAGTGACTCAGGCTCAGAACTTCAGGGTCATCTTTGACTTCTCCCTCCTCATGTCTCTCTTTCTTCAGAACATCCGCTTGACGAATAACAGCAATTCTTTCTTTGTAGTGCCTCCCATTGGCCACACCCTCATCAAGCACACCCATACCCAGACCAACACAACTCTTAGGTCTCCCTGCCTCAGACTTTCTCTTCCGACCTAAATCGCACAATGCTGGCAGGTTAATGATCCTCTTGAAACACCATTCTCATCACTACATTCAAACCTTCGTTGACTTCCCATAAGACAAAAATCCAGACATATGACCTTAAGGCATTCCCTAATTTGCCTTCCATCTATGTCCAGCATTCTCTCAAATCACCTTTGCCCACACACTCTCTGTTCCAATCAACAGATGTACTCCCTGCCCCTCAATGTCATTATGCACAAAGTCCTTGGTCAGGAATGTTCTTTTGCACTTTGGGAGACCACTTACAATGAGCCTCTCCTTTCCCTGATGACGTTCCATGAAAAATGTAACTGATTGGAACATAATTGTGTCCTTCTATGCTAAACCACTCAACATCAGGAAATCAAAATAACTTCATTCCTACATTCACTTCTGAAATGTTTACCATTAGCCTCCAGGAGAGGGGAACAGCCTTTGCCATTCATTAGAGGAGGTGGGACACTGCTTCCACAGCACAGGGGTTAAGGATGCAGAAAAGCTGGGAAAGCTGGCCCTCCCTGAGCATGGCCTTGGGGCATTTACCCGGAACACCCAGTGCCATGCGGGAAGTCAGGGGTAGGGCTGAGGCTTGGCTGACCGCAGCAGCTGCTAGAGCAACGAGAATGGAGAAGGTTTAGAGGGAACCTTCAGGTCTCAGCTTGGGACTCGACCATCAGCCAAGACGCCCTGCCTTTGCCTGACGTCCTCTGTCCTTACATCTGATTCATACCAAGAAGCAAATGTGGAAGTTCAGATTTTCCAGTCATACGTGCAATAGACAATGACTATAAACTGAGCCAACCTTTACTGTCAGGATGTCTGGCATATTTCACACTTTATTTTGTAGCCATTCTTTTTTTTTTTTTTTTTTTTTCTGGTGCGCGGGCCTCTCTCTGCTGCGGCCTCTCCCGCTGCGGAGCACAGGCTCCGGACGCGCAGGCTCAGCGGCCACGGCTCACGGGCCCAGCCGCTCCGCGGCACGTGGGATCCTCCTGGACCGGGGCACGAACCCGTGTCCCTCAACCACTGCGCCACCAGGGAAGCCCTGTAGCCATTCTTAATGGAAAAAAATTACTATATGTTCATAATGAACAGGTTTGGTGTCACCTCAATGGAATGATCTGCAACAGCGGCACAGCTTAATGTCTGAGAAGTAGAGGCATGAAACAGCAGAGAGTGAGACAGAATGCAAAACAGAAAATGAGGAAAGAAACGAGGGAGGAGAATAATGGAGAAGAAATCATGATTATACAACGACCAGAGCACTGTTTCCCAGTCCTCGCTCTGTAAGAGGCCAACACATGATTAATGACCTCGAGAAGCCACAGAATTCACAAAAATTCAAGGCAAAGTTAGTTTTAGATCAATCTAACTTAAACTGTGTTTTTAGGGAACTTTAAAGACATGCTGGTAAACCAAAGTACTGAAAATTCAGAAAGACTGGGAATGACTGGGTTACAGAAGAGAATCATTTTAATTATTAAAATCACTTCTATGTGAACATCAACAGTGACATAAAGTGTTAGCGTTCCTCACCATACCTAGACTTAATCAGGTTTTTCTTGGGTTGCTGTTTGAGCAAATAATTCCACGTAAACAAATTTCCCCTTTCTGCTTCTATGAACACGTAAGCAAGACCTGACGACCCACCCCGCCCCAAGTTCAATCCTGTTTGTTCTAATTAGTCAAGCCTCCCCGTGATGGGCCCCAAGAGTCAGGAGTTCCTGAGAGATAAGTCATAACATATCTGCAAAGTTTCAGTCACTGAAAAGGGCGGGTAGGTGCCGAACAAGTCCCAGCAAACCTATAGGTTCCTCCCTTGCAATATTTGTGCGATGGAGAGCCTGCAAGCTCAGCAATCACCACCTGAAATCCAAGCACGGAAAACTGAGAAAAGCAGGACCATCTCATTCAAAACACTCATCCCTGATATCCGTAGCCAAAATCATGTTCACGTGGACAAGACCAAGTGTGCAAGTATTTAGGCTATTTCTACTTTTTTTTACATATATAATTTTAAAAAATGTTTTGAGTTATGAAGTTTTAGAAAAAGACAGAAAGCAATAGATAACTCTCCAGTGCCACGTGCCCTGACACTCACATAACTTGCGGGCCCCGCTTCTCTGCCTCTTTTGCTCTTTCCCACTGAGCCGCCCTACAGTCTGTCTGTCCCAGCGTGACCACAGTCAGAAGACCTGGCACTCACTCTGGGACTGTCAGGACCAGCGGCGCAAGGTGGGGCGCGTCGCTGGGGGGCAGACGGCAGCGGACTCTGTGAGTCCAGATAGAGGAGTGCAAGTTTATTTTAAATGTGGCAGCACGAGAAAAAACGGTAACGTGCCATACAGATAGTCTGTTTTTATACCCATGTTACCTCTGATCCTTTAACACTTCTTTGCTATTTTGTCTAAATACCAAAAGTCCCCACTGACTGGATTTGCTAGCTGGAGGCATTTTTGTGATTATTCAAAGCCTCAAGACTGTCTCCTCTTTTTACTGAGCGGCTCTGAACCACCTTTAAGAGAAATGAAAGTAACATGGCTGCTTGCATCTCCTGTGTGCCTGCCAGCTCGTGACCTTCATTATCTTTCCTCTTCCCCAATTCTTAAGGAGTCTAGGGTCTTACTGTAAGATATGGGGGAAGAAAAGGTTTTTTAACCAATTTAACACAGGTTAAATAAAAGCAGCCAGGTTCACAATACTCAAATGAAAATCAAGGGAGCTGAAAATGACCATTTGGTTCTTCATTTTCATTGCTAAATATTCCAGTAGAAACATATAAAAGAACTGCTACAAATGCAAAATAATTTATCCATACATTTACTTAAAATCAGATATAGCAAAAATTAATATGTAAAATAAAAATGAAAACAGCAATATTAATTTCCACAATGATTTCAACCCTGGCCTAATAGAACAGATGATAAGATGTTCTTGTTCTGTACTCCTGTGTCAAGAAATGGAAGAGTGAAAAGGCAGTGATACAGCCATGTTTGAGAAATTTCAAGAGACCTTCAAAAATAGTAGGATAATCTGGGGGAAAACTCTGGATATGCTACTCACTTAATACAACCTTGCAAACAAGTGCTCACAACTCAGTTTTAATTTTTTAACCACTTTGCTCTGCTTCCCAGTGATAGCCTGGGAGTTGAAGTAATGAAACAGCCCTATTCTTTTCAACTGGCAAATTTTATAAGTAGCTGCCCCCATCTGAGACACTTTCATCTTCCTAAACCATAGAAGATAGACCTCCAATGTTATCAACTTCTTCTTAAGAATGTGAAATAGAAAACAATGAGAATGGGGGGGAAAAGGTCTTTTTTGAGTGAGAAGAATAATGCGGAAAAGCTGTTGGAGGTTTAGTCATTGTAGTTTGTGTAAAGTAGCTATTGGAGGTATAGATGACATACGCGTATGTGAAAACAAAATATTTAACATCAATCAACTTGCCCCAAAATTCTAAAGCCAATTTTAAAAAGGAATGAATGGTCTTGTTCAAGAATATTCTAATACTAGCAGTCAATTGCCCGTAATTCTATACAATGCCTAAGTTTAGTTTAATCACGAAAGAACACTGAACTTATTTTGAAAATGCACATATTACCTGTCCTTTTCCACAACAACAGGAGTAGGGTAGGACTGGTTACTTTTATTGCCAGTGCCCAACTGGCCATAAGAATTTGCGCCCCAAGCATACACTTGACCTTCATCTGTCAATACTAATGTGTGTGCATAGCCACAGGCAACCTGGAAAGAGAAAAACCAAGTCCACTCAGGCCTGAAAACAGAAACATGTTTCACAAGATAGGTTAAGAATCAAAAAATGAAAAAAAAAAAGGGAAGAGGCAGTCTGCCTCTTTACTTCAGTCAAGATAGCCAAGCAGCTTACCTTTTCATCCTGCTAAGACAACTGAGTTTTTAGTACATTGGTATCTTTGCCCCCGTAGCCTTAAAAACAGGCAGCATGTGAAGCAACAGTGGACGTACCCGCTGGACACGAATGCCTTGCAAAGCTGCTACCCTACAGGGGGTTGGCTGGTTGCCGCTGCTGCCGAGTCCCAGCTGCCCGTTTCCATTGTAACCCCAGACATAGACCTGAGAGAAGATGAGAGACTCAATGCCCACGAAAGATGAAAAGAAGCATTCCATGTCGGTATGACACTGAGAAGGTAGACGGGCTTTTTTAATCGACACAGAAAATAACTTTCTTACCTCCCCAGTGTTCACCACTGCCATCGAGCACATCTGCCCACAGGCTATGTTCACAACTACTTTATTCTGTAAGCAGCCAGTGACTCTTCGAGGGATCGGCTGATTAGCTGTTGATCCAGACCCTACCTGCCCGGAGTTATTATAACCCCAGGCAAATACCTATTTGAAAGAAGAGATCAATAAATGAAACACACTAATATATAAAGTGTCTCAGTTGGCACTTATGGTGCCTCATCTTTGCCCTCAAAGTGCTTGATATCCATAAATGCTCACAACACAGGCAGGGAAGCTTCCATAGAACGCCTTCTTACAAAATGTATTACTTTATTTTTTTTTTTAAGACTTTTTTGATGTGGACCATTTTTAAAGTCTTCATTGAATTTGTTACAATACTGCTTCTGTTTTATGTTTTGGTGTTTTGGCCACGAGGCACGTGGGATCTTAGCTCCCTGACCAGGGATCAAACCCGCACCCCCTGCATTGGAAGGCAAAGTCTTAACCACTGGACCGCCCAGGAAGTCCCAAAGCATATTACTTTATAAAATTAGGTTACTGGCATTACCTACACAAACAGCAATGATTATAATCAAATATCATATAATCCTTATAAAAATATCTACTTTGCTTCAGCCATATTTTCCAGCATTTTGGGATTTTTCTTTTTGCAAATAATCCCCTTGAGTACAGCAACATAGAAGTAACAATACATCCTTTTAAATTTTGCAGTTATAGAAATCCTTACTACATACAGGCACACTTCATAATATAAACACCATGACTATGAACTGCTAACAAGAGTAAGACTGAATTTGAGGTAGGTGGTTATTTTAATCAAATGATCATATTTCCAGGACTGCTACAGGAATCTATATAATGTACTGAAATTAAAATCTTATTGAAATCTTATGATCAGTGGGATTTATGCTGACTATTCTCACCTCTCCATCAGATGTTAGCACCAAAGAATGGTAAGACCCACAGGCCGCTTCAATGACTTGTTTGTTTGACAAATTAGTAGAGATATGACAGGGCACTAGACCATGATTAGTTGTCCCATTGCCCAGCTGACTGTAACCATTGTGACCCCAGGTAAAGACTTCTCCTTCTGAAAATAAAAAGAAACATAACCAACTTTCAAAACATCTATTCTTATATGAAAATATATATATTACACACTTCCACAAATGGAAACTAAAACTTCATATGCAAAAGCTAATCAACTTCCCTATTCCACAAAACTCATTTTTTAAAAGAATACATTTGGAAAGTTTAACTACATTCTACCTCAAAGCAACAAGATGAAATTTAAATGGATGCAGTTATAATAGCTGGAAGATAGGTTTTTAATAAACAACAGAGAAAAGGCTGCTAAGAGTAAGAGAAAAAAAAAAAACAGACTGAAATTCGACAGACTGTAAGGTCATTTAACTTCTCTGAACCTTAATTTCCTTATCTATAAAATGATCTCCAAGTTAATTTTTTGAATCTTTGTTATATTACTTATTGTGCAGTATAATACATATTCAGAAAAGTTCTTAAACTACATATACACAGTTTTATAAATAATTGCAAAGTACACATCCATGTACTACCACTCAGGTCAAGAAATACAATCTTATGATCACCCCAAAAGCCCCCCACATATACATCCTGGATAACAGGATTTAGTCTTTCTTGGTTTTGAACTTAACATAAATGGAATAATACAGTATATACTCCTTTCATCTGTATTTTTCTACCCTATTGTCTCTTTGTGCTACATTCCAGATAATTTCTTCTGATCTACCTTCCAGTTTATTAATTGTCTCTTGCTGTGTTCAAACTGCTGCAAAACTTGTCCACTAATTTTTTCATTTTGATAATTATATTGTTTATTTGGTTCTCTTTCAAGTCTTCTATGACCTCTTCAGGTATCTTCAAGCTCATTTTTTATTTTTTCAAGCATAATAAATACAGCCATCTTATAAGTGGTGTCTGATAATTCTAATATCTGATATTTAGTAGTTGTTTTTTGCTGTCTTTTTTGAAGGTTCTTATTCAGAGTGACTTGTTTCCTTGTACCTGGTTATCTTTGACTATGTGCTACTAATTGCCATCGAAAAATTATTTTTCGATGGCATTATATTCCTTCAGGCCTAGAATGAAGGTACTTTCGTCTAGAAAGAATTTGCATTAACTTCTCTCATGTTCTTAAGGCACTTTAAAGGTACCTCTTTGATAAATCCAAGGCTTGAGATTTCTTGGACCATCCAATCTAAGGTGAATTGGAATACAAATCCATGGATACAACACCTCAGGGAGAGGTTTTCTTTCTTTTTTTCTCCTTGCTTTGCTCAGAGCCAAGGAATTCTTCTGTTGAGTCCCTTAGAGATGAAAGAACTGACTCATCCTTGCCCTGAGAGTGTAGCCCTTTGTGGTCCCAGCCTAACATGTGAGGTCTTTGACTTGTGACCCCTTTACCTCAGAAGTACATCAGACCACAACACTGTTTAAGTGCATAGGCAGATGGCTTTAAGGCAAAATTAGCTTCAAGGTCCCCTCTAACTTCTTAGTTCATACTTTCTCTTAAATATATTTGGTCTAATAATTCCTTTCTGCCTTATCACTGTTTTGATGCTTTTAGAAAATTAAAAAAATATATTTTATATAGAATTTGTTATTTGTTTTCAGTGCAGAAATGGTCTGAATAATCCAGCCTGCTACTACTGGCAACCAAAAATCCCTAAAACTTATTTTTTAAATGTGAAATAAATATACGAGAGTATTTATAAAATTTATTTTCCATTTAAAGAACACTAATAAAATGAATACCCAGCTTGAGGGAAACTCTAAGGTATGTTTTAATTATGTTGTCTTATCAGTCTGAATGCATGAAATAGCCATGAGAATATTTAATTCCTTATACTACTAATACCAACTAGAGCCATCAGTCACTGTTTAAAGTCAGGATCACAGAATGCTAACAGTTAGAGGGGATCTTGGAATCTAGCTTTCATCGCTCTGCTCATAGATCAAGAATCTCAAGTTCAAAAAGTCCTGAGTGAGTTCAGCATTCTAATGCAAAATAATTACACATATCAACAAAAGGAGTTCACTGGGCTTATCGCATTGTCATTCTTACACCCAAAGTGCCAATAACTGCTAGATTCCATCTGCTATATTATCTTACTTTGATATTGATATTGATATTTCATATTGTCCAAAGCACAGTCAAGTCCCCAGGGCAGAGGCAGAAAGCCAATCAAAAAGTATGTTCTCAGTGTAAGGGGTGGTCCTAGTCTTGTTTCGCAACAAAGCAATGGCTAAAATTCCACCCTGTGTTCCCAGGTTACCTGCTGTTGCAAGGACAACATGTGGACCACTCCCATAGCTGAGGCAGGCAATTTTTTTGCCACTTAAAGAATCCAGTCTCCGAGGTTCAATGGTGCTCTGGACATCACCTAATCCCAAACAGCCACAGCAGTTTGTGCCAAGCACAAAAATCTGTGGGAAAAACCACAGTTAGTTCAAGCAGTTCTATTTCTGACAAACCTGTACATTCAGACACAGGCACAGTTCCCCTAGGGAAACTGCTTCATTATTTAACATATAAGAATCTACTCTCCGTGCATTTTTTTTACCTTAATTCCTCCCTTAACTCCTTAGTTCCCCCAAGATCTTCAATTCAGCAAATTCATTACTGAAAACGTAATTTTTTCTTCAACATTACCTCATCATTTACTGTAGTATATAAAACTTCATTGCCAGCACTGCCAAAGACACAGGCTTGACGAACTAACTGCAGTTCTTCCTCAGAACAAAGGGAGAAAATTGGCCACTTTCCCACATCTAACATCTTCAAAGATGACAGAGTAGCCTGTACTGGCTGAAAAAGAATTTAAAAAATAAGTAAATAAAATAAATATATATATATATTGATTAATCATAAAAAATACATTTTCTTTGCCCCCTTCATTTCTGTAGAGGAGTTAGCATTGGTTTGAGGAACAAACCCTGTCTATTCTGGGAACTGCCTTTACAGGCTTGACGGCTTCAGGATCACTCTCACTCCAACCAAGAGCCAGAGGTCCTGGATGGAATCAGATCTCACCTATTCATCTTCCTCAAGGACACAGGAAGCATACAAGGCTGAACTTTGGGGAGGTGAATGTCTGGCAAGCACTTTCAGTGTCGGTTATATCTTAAATGTAGCTCTGGAAACTAAGCTGCTTGTGAAAGCAGGAAAAAAGGCAGAAGACTGCTGTTTCATCTGCTGCCCAAGTCTTAGCAAAACAAGTCCTTGGGAAAGAACAATGCCAAAGGTGACACCAAGGAAAAAGTCCAGAAGGTTTCAGTTCATGGGTCAGTTCTGACCAATCAGTTTGAGCAACTGGTGGGTTCCCTCATCCCCCCACTCAGGTTTGGGGATTGGTAGGACGAAAACACCCAGAAAGGACATGTATTCGTTTGCTACGACTGCTGTTAACAAAGTACCACAAATTGAGTGGCTTAGACAACAGAACTTTATCTTCTCACAGTTCTGGAGGCTAGAAGTTCAGAGTCAAGGTATCAGCTGGTCTGGTTCCTCCTAAGGGTTGTAAGGGGAAGATCTGTCAGGCCTCTCCCCTCGGCTTACAGACGGCCCAATTCTCCCTGTGTCTCACATCGTCTTCCCCCACATGCGTCTGTCTCTGTGTCTCAATTTCCCCTTTCTTGTAAGGATACCAGTCATGCTGGATTAGGTCACCCTCATGACCTCATCTTAACTAAACAATCTGCATCTGCAGTGACCCCATTTCCAAAAAAGGTCACCTTCAAAAATAATGGGGTATCTCAGTCAATTTGCTAAACCAAAACACCATACACTGGGTGGATTATAAACAACAAAAATTTATTTTTTATAGTTCTGGAGGCTGGGAAGTTCGAGCTCAAGGCACCAGCATGATCATGTTCTGATGAAGGTGCCCCTCCTGGTTCAGAGCCGGAGTCTTCTCACTGTGTCCTCTCGTGCTGGAAAGGGCTAGGGGTCTCGCTGGAGCCCCTTTTATAAAGCACTAATCCCATTCATGAGGTTTCTCCCCTCAGGACTTAGACAATTCTTGAAGGCCCCACCTTCTAATACCATCACCTTTGGGGGTTAGGATTTCAACATATGAATTTGGGGGGGATACAATCAAACCCACAACAGGATGCATTAAGATCATGTGCATTTGCACTCCCATAAGAGCATTCAATGTGGACATGATAAAGCTGTTTTTCTTTCTTTATTTATGGCTGCATTGGGTCTTTGTTGCTGTGCACAGCGAGTGGGGGCTACTATTCGTTGCAGTGCATGGGCTTCTTATTGCGTTGGCTTTTCTTGTTGCGGAGCATGGGCTCTAGGCGCGTGGGCTTCAGTCGTTGTGGCACACAGGCTCCGTAGTTGTGGCTCACGGGCTCTAGAGTGCAGGCTCAGTAGTTGTGGCACACGGGCTTAGTTGCTCCGCGGCATGTGGGATCTTCCCGGACCAAGGATCGAACCTGTGTCCCCCTGCACTGGCAGGCAGATTCTTAACCACTGCACTACCAGGCAAGTCCCTGGTGTTTAAAACATATAAAGCTGTTTTAAAGAGAGCTTTTACTTATTTGCTACACTGGAAACATTTTTATTTACATACTTTTCAACTTCCAAAAATTTTTAAGATTATAATAAGATGCATAAATAGCCAACATGCCTATCAAATGCCATGTCTAGCCATTTCCCTCAATAATCACCAAACTCTAGCTTAATTTAAAGGAGCAAAGGATTTTCTAAGCCCTATCTTTCCCATCAGATATTAAATCAGTCTTACCAGATATATGTCTAGTAGAGAGCAGATCAGACTAGCTACTTGTTTTAGAAAGGATATTTGTGCTTTCCACCTTAGGAGTCAGGGGGAAAAATTATTTATTTGTCCATTCATTCATTCATTTATAGGACTTGGCTCACAAGATTATGGAGGCTCAGAAGTCCTATGTTTGCATTTGTAAACTGGAGACCTAGGAAAGCTGGTGGAATAATTCAATCCGAATCCAAAGGCCTGAAAACCAGAGGAGACAACGATGTAAATCCCAGTCTGCGGGCAGAGGATGAAATGAGACGTCCCAGGTAAATCAGTAAAGCAGGAAAAAAGGGATGAATTCTTCCTTCCTCTGCCTTTTGTTCCAACCAGGTTCTCAACAGATTGGATGATGCCCACCCACACCAGCAAGAGCCACCCATTTACTGAGTCCACCAGTTCCAGTGCTATTCTCCTCTGGAAGCACCCTCACAGACACACCCAGAGATGATGTTTAACCTGGGCACTGGGGGCCCACTCAAGCTGACATGTAAAGTTAACTATGTGAAGACACACAGTGAAGATGGAGGCAGAGACTGGAGTGATGCAGCTATATGTGCCGGAACACCAAGGATGCCGGGAGCCCCCAGAAGCAGGCTTCTTCCCTCAAGCCTTCAGAGAGCGTGGCACTGCTCTCTTAGAAACCTTGCAGCCTGGAGATGACGTGGAATTCACAATCAAGGACAGAAATGGTAAAGAAGTTGCAACAGATGTCAGACTATTGCCTCAAGGAACAGTCATTTTTGAAGATATCAGCATTGAACATTTTGAAGGAACTGTAACCAAAGTTATCCCAAAAGTACCCAGTAAAAACCAGAATGACCCATTGCCAGGACGTATCAAAGTTGATTTTGTGATTCCTAAAGAACTTCCCTTTGGAGACAAAGATACGAAATCCAAGGTGACCCTGCTGGAAGGCGACCATGTTAGGTTTAATATTTCAACCTTGATTTCAGACTTCTGGCCTCCAGAGCTGTCAGAGAGTAGATTTCTGTTGTTTTAAGCCACCTGGTTTGTGGTACTTCATCAGAGCAGAAACTAATACTGAGAAACTAACACAGAGGGGAAGCAGTTTGTCACTGCTAACAGCATCACCCTCAGTGAGTGGCACAGCCTGAACCAGGGGAGGCTCCCCTAATGCCAAGTCTGGCCACCTCCTCCCATGACACCACCAAACTGTAAGACCCTGCCTGGAGAATGACGTCTTCTATTGGGCAGCGCCTAAGGCCCCTGTGGGGCTAATGACAGAAGTTTGTTCTGTTACCTTTTAGTCTAACCTTCTACTTTAAATTACCCACCTCCTTATATTATGAAGGAATCTTACTTTCTGTGAGGTGTTCATTTTAATATTTTTTTTCCGATTTAAGTCTATAATTTTCAGAAAGAACAATGTTTGGGATGTGGCATCAAATATTTCATGTAGATGCGCTAACGTGCTAGTTAAAAGAGTTCTTACATAGTATTTCTAATCTTCACAAGTGTAGGACATACACATTGCTATCCTCATTTTACATATGAGGAACCTGAGGGCCAGAGAGACTGAGAAATACTCCAAGATCACCAGCTTCTCAGTGGGTAAGCCAGATTTCTTTCCACAAATCATCTGTTGCTAAGTAAAAAGTTCACATAAGAAGTGATAACTCCTGGGCTTCCCTGGTGGCGCAGTGGTTGAGAGTCCGCCTGCCGATGCAGGGGACATGGGTGCGTGCCCCTGTCCGGGAAGATCCCACGTGCTGCGGAGTGGCTGGGCCCGTGAGCCATGGCCGCTGAGCCTGCGCGTCCGGAGCCTGTGCTCCGCGACGGGAGAGGCCACAGCGGTGAGAGGCCCGCGTACCGCAAAAAAAAAAAAAAAAAAAAAAAAAAAAAAAAGGGATAACTCCTGGCAGGCCTAGTGTTTGCTTGCATTTGTAGGGCTTTGGCTGTTGTGCTCATGAAGTCCTTAATGAACAGGGCAGTAGTGCCCACTGTGGGTTGTCTTCCTTCATGGAGCTCACAATTTAATAGAAAACAAATAATTACAATATAACCTAAATACAACAGGTGTGAATGCATTGCTTGTTAAATCTCTGCCAGAAGGCTGGCTACTGGAGGTTAGTCATCAAAAATCCATGTTTCTGAGTCTGTGGGGAAACTTCTTCATAGGGAACCAATGACTTCATTTATGAAATGCACATGTTTATACTTTTTGGAAGTAAATATTTAATATCAGTCTCCAGGAATTGAGTATCTTCTCTCACAGAAGAAAAATACATTCTTCTGTCTGGCATAATCTTGAGCATATATAGTTATACACATTGTACATACTGTATACATATGTACATATATAGCATATATGTATACTCTGTATATATATATACATTGTATATAGTAAGAGTGTACATAATATAAGGATGCACACACTTTAGGAGCCTCAATCACACCACAGCCAGCCTGCATGATAGCAGGCATCTCCGCAGAAGGCACCCAACTACCTCTGGGCCCAACTATTAAGTAAGGGACTGGCTGAGCAGAAGCCAAGAGTGGGCAATAAAAAAACTGTAGGGGAAAAGAAGCACTACCAGGGAGCGAGAGGTCGGCAATATATGTCATCAAGGTCGTGTCCCAGGAATCTGCATCCTAGCTTGGAGCCTCCTTCCTGTTTGTCACCAGCATAGTGAGAATTTACCCCAGGCCAGCTTACCTTCACTGCTTTGCTCACATCCAAGCCACCTCTCTCATCTTTCACTGGCATCTGTTTGGGAAACGCAAAGCAGTAAAACTTTTTAGTATTAGCTCAAGGAAAACATAATTAAGGAAATACATCTCCATAAAGTTAGAGACCACAATGCATTTTATCGTTGCTTTGAGTGTGTGCTCCCTGTAGTAACTCTGCTTCTCCATCCATATGAAGAACCAAGTGGATTATGATACTTCATCTAACTGTGGACAACTATTAAGTTGCCACAATTCAATTTAAAATACCGCATATAAAAACAGAATTAAAATTACATGTTGGGCATGCCTAGCAAAAAAAAAAAAAACCTCAAAGAACAACAGCCAACACCTCATGTTTTGAGAATTTCCTGGCAGTATAACACCATGTAATAAAGTAATTTCTTTGCTAATTCCATGAGTTTTTTATTTTACAAAATCTGTTCCCAGAAAAAAAAATAATGAAATTTTCTACGAACATTTTATAAGACTTTCAGGTTCTATACATTGCTTTTGTGAGCTACTTTCCTACAGGAGCTCACAGATGAGCACGTCAAGTCAGCACGCAGCAATATTATGGTTCAGTTCAGAAGCTGTGCTGTTTTTGTACACTACACTGGCTGTGATGATGATTTACATCGTTTACTGAATTTTGACCATATTTTATTTTTTAAAAAGTGGAAAACAGAAAAATGAAAGTTAATGGTGGCAGTTAATATTAAGCTGTCAACAGTGAAGAGCAGATATTTCGTACATTTAATAAAATCAACACAAGATAGAGATCGACGTGCATGTTGAAAGATGTGAAACATTTAACATCACTTGGACACTGACCGGACTTAAGCTGGCTGACTGTAATATTCAGATGTGATGGAATCGAAATAAAGAATATCTGCGATGAATCAAGAACATGTCATCTAAGATTAAGTATTTTGTCATTTTTTTAAAAGCTCTGGCAGTGGAGCAAACATTGTTCAACTCAGACCCTTTTGCAGGACAGCATTTTCTGTGAAAGTAGGGGTGGTGTGGCTCCTCATCCAGCTCAAACGTCACCGCCTCTGGGGACCCTTTCTCTACTCCTCACACAATCCCCAGAGTCCCCTGCTGGTCCCTCTGGCATTCTCTACACCCATAACAGTGATGGGCCAGCCTCTCAGTCACTATACTGAGAGCCCCTCAAAGACAGACACTATCTCATTGATCTTCCTATTGGATGACCAATAGAGGTTTGACGAAGGATGTTTTATGTGACAGAAAATATATGCTCCAAGGGCATGATTTTTCTAACCTTGACACTTTTTCCATAGAGAAGGAAAAGTTCTTCTTCCATATGGTCTTCCATGGTCCTGTGCAGTCCTTGGGGAAAAAGTATGTGGTAAAATAAGATCCCATATGTCTAGTGAAACTGGGCAGGTTAAAATTACTTTACTTCTAGTTAACAGAGAAAATAAGCTAAGCTCAAATATGGTGAAGGGAAAATAAGGGAATTAAGTTTGGGGCACGGGAGTTAACAGCTGTAAAACCCAAAAGATGTTTTAACTGTTGTTCTCCTATGAGAATCCTCCTGCTGAGGTGTGGAAAAATAATCCCAGGATAAACCTATATTCTTAAATCTATTAGGGAATGAGCAGAAAATTTTCATTTCAGAGTTGACTTCCTATAGATAAGAAAAAATAAACTTTAGACCTTGGTCAAATTTCCCCTGGGATTGGAAAGTCCCAAATCACTGTGAAGAGTAGACATCAATTCTCACCTCCACTGAAGAGTGTATGATTTGCTAAGGGGGAGGGAGGGGGGAATGAATGAAAAGAATAAAAGGATGAAAGAATGAATGAACAAATGTGACTTGTTATCTTAACAAAAAATCTGAAACAACAGCCATCAAGTATGTAGCTATAGCACTGAATGTGCTTGCCTTAATTAACCAGCTCCACAATGACTACCTTCTACCACATACAAGTAACAGCAGAAGTAGCCCTATCAGATAACAGGCAGTATGTCTGGACTGTGGTTAAATCATTACAGAGTTATCACTAAAAATAAATATGAATAAATATTCTCTCTCCCCTCAGAAGCAATTTAATGAAATCATGTTTAATAATGTTGATATTCTGATTCATTAGGCTGGCTCCTATTTATTCAAATACAACCCATATTTCAAATGCCTAACGTCAGAACATTTTATCTAATACTACCTACAAGCAGTTAGAGCCTTGCAATAGATAAAAACAATAACCAAAATAAGGTTAAGTCTTAACAGTGTTCCTTATCAATGTTTTATATTCACTTGAGGATACTGGTAAAATTCTGTTTTCTTCGGCTGTAAAAGGTCTCTCAGCATATAAGGAATAATAAATAATATATTCAGAATAATTATTACTCCAACTATGGCAATTAATACAAATCATTATTTCTAATGTTTGGAAAAGATATGCTTGTTGTGAAAAGGATCACTTATACCTTTCTCACTTATAAATTTCTAAAACTTGATCTGGTTGCCAACATGGAAAAATAATTTCATGCGGCAGCTATTCCTATATCATCTATCTTCTCTATTAACTTTCAAGCTCTTTAGGAGAGAGGGCCATGACTCATTCATTGCTATAACTACCACAACACATGGCTCAGAGCAGAACACAAGATATTCGTTGAAAGCATCTTCTGAATACAGCTTTTTGTAGATTGCAGACAGCCTATATTGGGGATTCTTCTCTTTTTTGCCTCATCTTAACTGGAAATACCTTTTCCATACCTGTCCCAAGTTTACTGGAATAAAAAATAAAAAGATAAGAGAGGGAAGAGAAGAAAGAGGAAGTAGAAGAGTAGAGGAAGGGAATTCAAAGGCAAAAAAGGAAACAAACAAGAGAAGGAAAAGGGATCTAATTAGAGAAGTGACTGCCCCTCGCTGGACTTTAGGACCCCTTTGTGTCCCTAGCAGAAGGGAAATCTTGCTAATATGCTGAGATCACTGAACAGTAATCCTGGGGTTTGTTTTGTTTTGTTTCCCCACCCCATCCCTCTACCATTGTAGGTAACCAGCTTCACTGGTTTCTGGTTTCTTCTTCTGTTTCTTTTTGCAAAAATAAGCAGACATATGTACGTGTTTTTATTCCCCAGTTCTTTCTTGTACAAAATATAGCATACTTTACATACCCTTTTGCAAGTTTTTTTTTTTCCCACCTAACAATGTATCCTGGAAAGCACTCTATATCAGCTAATAGAAATTTTTTAACACCTGCATATCTTGGGTTTTTAAGGAGAAAAATAAATAGCTCTTTTCAGTGTCTTTGATCAGTTTCAAGTAGAGTAACTCTTTAAAAATTAGAATGGTGAAAAGCAGATCATTCCGTTTATTTGACCAATCAGGTTAAGACATAATTACATGTATGGCATATGAAAATTACCATATTCAAAGAAATAACATTCAGTAAAATTCAATTAACACTAAATATAATATTAACTTTTTATTTTTGTCAGTCAGAATGTCCTTGAAGATTTAAAAATGATTCATGATTAATTACTATTATACAGTACTGTGAAAAAAGTGATGTCAAAATCTGTAGCATTGTAGAAAACGGTTGGCTTTATTTTTTCATTTTTTTCCTTTTTGTCTGTGCTGCGTGGCTGGCTTGCAGGGATCTTAGTTCCCCGACCAGGGATTGAACCTGCAACCTTGGCAGTGAAATCACGGTGTTCTAACCACTGGACTGCCAGGGAATTCCCTGGTTGGCTTTTTTTTTTAACATTATTCCAATGTGATACAAATAAAATAAAGAAAACTAGCTTTCCCAATTTGCACTACTTGAGGAATATAGTTTGCAGAATATATGTGAGGATTATAGTTATCTCATCCTGTTATATGTGATATCACCAGGCTATTATTATAGCAATGTTATAGTAATATATCAACATATACGTCTTAAAAATCCATAATACGCATATAGAATACCACATCCATGATGTGATAAACATGAATTCTAAATAACAGCAACAATAATAACAGCTAAAATAAACAGTTACCCGGTGCCAAGCACTAAGTGCCTTATATTATCTCATTTAATCTTTACAATAGCCAAAAAGAAACAGGTATAATCATTGCCTCTGTTTAATGAACATATTTCAATACTTTGACTAACAGTCACCAGTCAGTCAGGGTCAGAGCCAGAACAAATTCCAAAGTCCTTGCTCTTGGACCCTCCCCTGTAATGCAGGGATATTTTAAGTTTTCCCGTGTACATTCCAGATGGTTTTATTTTGTACTGACTGGTTAGGAACATTCCCACCAAAAATGTTTGTACCTGATTGTTTCTAAATTTCTGGAGCCCAGTATTCAGTCATCTTTAACCCTGTTCCTTCTAGATCCTTGTGAAGTTGTCATCTAGGGTAAGGTAAATGCGACTGAAAATGGAAATACATAAATAAATTCTATTAGAGAACAAAAGAAAAGGACAAGAATATACCATCTTGAAACTTTAACAAGCCAGTATTTATCCGAGAAAAATACAGTTAAAAAATTGTATCAGCTCTATTTACTGTTAGAAAGTCAGCAGCAGAGGTGCTCAATTATAAAAAGAATTAATATTATAAAATATAACTTTCAGATATTATATTTTATAAGTTTTGGGAAAGGGCTTCAACAACTTGGTCGCTGAAACAAAACAACACTTAACGTTTAATCTATAGTATTTCAACATAAAAAAATGCAAGGGAAACCATTTGGAAAGGGAAAAACGCAAAATTTTCAAATTTTTGGAAGAAAGTATAGAAAACATCTTTATGGCCTCAGGGCAGGGAAAGGTTTCTTAAATGAGACACACAGCATAAACCACAAAGAAAGACTGGTAAATTTTACATTAAAGATTAAAACTTTGGCATAATAAAAGACAAAATGAACAAAGGGAAAAACATGCCACAGAATGGGAGAAGATATTTTCAACATATATAACTGATACCTAATTAGTATCCATAATGTATAAAGAACACCTAAAAATTAGAAAAAGGCAATCCAATTTAGAAATGGACAAAGGATACAGGCAATTCACAGAAGAAGAAATTAACAAACATATCCATGGAATTTATCATGGAAATGTAATCACAATCAGATAGATCTCACCAATCAGATCGGCAAAATTAAAGGGGATAATACATAGTGTTTGTGAGGATGAAGATCAGAAGGCACACTCATATAACTAGAAGGAATGTAACCTGGTACAATCACTTTTAGAGCAACTCAACAATATTCAGGTCAGAGCAGTGTCTTTCAATCTCTTTTGATACATATATATACCTGAAACAAGACTTTCACAAAATAATTCTTACCCTTCCTATATGAGATGCTAAGGGATACCCTCTTTCCTATTTTTTTTCTATTTTACATTATTCTATTCTACCCTACCCTATTTTGTCCTTTTCTATTTCATTTTTTCAATATTGGTTTCAGCCCACTAAGATAATTTCAATATCATTAATAAGTCATGTTTTGTAGTTTAGAAAACACTGGCCTAGATGAGCTCTAGTGCATATACAAAATTGTTTGCAATAGCAAAAGACTAGAAATAGTGGATAGAATTGATCAACAGACTCCATCAACAGAATTTATAAACTGTGGAATGTGTATACCACACAGCAATTAAAATAAATTATCTAGAATCAACACAGATAAGTCTCCAAAACAATTCTGATCAAAAATCACTAAGTCACAGAATGATGCATATGATACACTATTTGATAAAGTTTTAAAACATGCAGAAAACAATACTATTTTAACGTGTAATGGATACTGACATACACATGGCTGGACTTTGATGGAAATGTTTCATAAGAAAGTTTTGATGGAGATAATGTCAAAGGCAAAATTTGCCATGTAATTCTATCAATGAATTGGTGTGATATGGCTTTTCCAATTAATAAGACAGTTTTCAAGATTTTAAGCTTAAGTTAATCATCTGAGTATGGGAGGATAAGGTTACCCAATATTAAGGAAAACCAAATTGTAGAATCAGAATACCACCATTCTAATACTGCCTTTACTGCAAACATAGGAATTCAATAGAGGCTTGATAATGACAACTCATAAACCACAATTTCTTTCACCGTCGGTAAAATAAAATTTTACCAACACCATAGGAAGATAATAACTCAATAACATAGAAAAAATACAGTATCTTAAATGCCATGGAAGAAAAATATGAAATAGAAAAAAGTGTATCAGAATGTGTTTTTTACTTCTTGTCTTAATCTGCTTACAAATTTCCCCCTTTTCTGCACAAGAGGGAGACCCAGGGCAGAGGCTGGCATTTGTATTGGGAAGCTCTTCTTCATGGTGACAGTGTCATGGCATAA